TTTTTTTTTTTTTTTCCCTTTTAAATCTAGCTGTTACTATTGAAAAATCTTTCTGAATGTATTAATCAAACCTCTTGCTTGATGGTTAAGAATCTGCCAGTGCCTCAGCTATCATTCTTCCCAGTGTTCTAGATGAATAAAGTACAAGAATGGGTCATTTATACACTTGTCACAGGGCCTGTGGTCACACTTAGCATTGTGAATATGCATTTATTCTAAACTTTTATGTTTTTTCTGACTTTTCCCCCAAAAGTGGAATGTGATGACTTTCTTGATGCTTGGGCAAGAGATTTAGATAAGCATTATGTTTAGGGATGGTATTATATCTAGGAAAGGCCTGTTTTCATCCCTCTTTGAAAAGTTACCTCATATATTTTGAAGATAGTGACAACTGAAAATCATTCCTTTTTGTTTTTGTTTTTCCAGCTCAGCACAATGCCAAATTGCATGGTTATTTCCCAAGACTATGTGTTTATTGGAGGAGCCAAAGGATTCTCGATCTACAATCTGTGCAGTGCTAAAAGAATATGTGCTTGGGAGAAACTTAAAGTTGATGTCACTTCCATTAGTGCCACAGATTTGGGGGGTGACATACTTATTGCTTCAGTGGATGAAATGGGTACTTGTTCTTCATCATTCCTTTTAGCCTAATTTATGGTATGTGAGGTGATGGAAGGAGCTCTGGTGACATAGTAGGTAAGGCATTTGGCTGCTAGCCAGAAGGTTGATGGTTCAAACCCACCAGCTGCTCTGTGAGAGGAAGATGAGGCAATCTACTTCTGTAAAGATTTATAGCCTTGGAAGCCCAGTGGGTGTGGGTGTTGCTATGAGTCAGAATCTACTTGATAGCAGTGGGTTTGCTTTTTGGTTTGTGAGGTTATGGAGGAGCTCAGTGGTGAAAGCATTTGGCTGGTAACCGAAAGGTTGATGGTTTGAACTCATTAGCTGCTCTGTGGGAGAAAGATGAGGCAGTCTGCTTCCATAAAGATTATAGCCTTGGAAACCCAATGAGGCAGTTCTACTCTGTCCTATAGAGTAGCTATGATTGAGTGGCATGGGTTTGGTTTTTTGGTTGGTGATGTTATGGAGGAGCCCTAGTAGCACAGTGGTTAAAGCACTCAGCTGCTTACCAAAAGTTGGTGGTTTGAACCCACCAGCCACTCTGTGGGAGAAAGATGTGGCAGTCTGCATTTGTAAAGATTTACAGCCTTTGAAACTCTATGGGGCAATTCTCCTCTGTCCTATAGGGTCTCTTTGAGTCAGCATCCACTTCATAGCAGTGGTTTGTTATGGAGAAGAAAAGAACACAAGAATTGTGGAATATTGTTCAATTTAATTTCCTTTGCAGATATGGATGTGACCAGGCATGGAGAGTTCTCTCTGGTCACTTAGTAGTAATTAGCACCTATGAAGCAAGTGTGGTATACCAGGTACTACTTAACATTTCATACATGTTAGCCCATTACATCCTCACGTCAGTCTAGGGAATAGGTAGAATTTATTACCCCTGTTTTTCGGAAGAGGTAACTGAGGCAAGGAGGTTAAATAACTTACTTGAGGTACCACAGAAAGTAAGTGCACAGGCAGATTCCAAACCAGGTAGTGTGGCCCTAGAGTCCCCATCTTTTAGGCATGTAGCAATCCTGCCATAGCACGTAGGTGCTAGTTACTACTGAGTTTTCTTTTCTCCCTCAGCCTGAGAATGAACCAGGCCCTCGTGGATAGTATGGTATAGAAAACCATAAACAGTATCCTAGATAGGTAAGCTATTGGTCATTCCAAAATTCTAGGAAACCATTAGAGCAGCAAGGTATGGGTGCATAAGGTGGGTATGCCTTCTGCTGGAGCAGAGGGTGGCACAGGTACAGAGAAGAGCTCTAAACACTGGACAGGTCAAGCTGACCAAAAGGAGGGACTTGAGACTGACAGCCAACCTCCTCTT